CCATGAGGGCCCAAAAACGATTCCAAGACAGAGCCCATATGGGGAACCCGAGCGGACATGTCGGGCTTTCGGTCCTCAGGGAGCCCCCAAGAAGCCCCCAAGAGGCCCCAAGAGGCCCCCAAGAGGCCCCCGAAAGGCCCCCAAAAGGCCGCAAAAAGGCCGCAAAAACTCCGACCAAAAGGACCCGAAGGCATTCCGAAGGGACCCAACAAAAAATCCCCGAGAAGTCTGCCCCAGAACCCAAGCACGGTAGCGGGATAGGCCGAAAACGCTTAGCTTGGGGAAAGACCCAACCATATGCAGTTGTGAATACCGCAATTGTGAATACCATCTTCGCCCGCACCCCCTATGTGGCCACGCCTTCCCGCCGGAGCCCGACATGCTTAGGGACACGTTCATGGCCGTCTTCGCGGGCGCCGACCACGACGAAGACGGCGCCCTTTGAGAACCATGATGGGGGAGGTGGCGTTGCACGCCGACAAGGCGGAGTACGACGCCCAGGCGCGGTTGTTGAAGCAGCACAACTATGGGGCCACGATCCTCGCGAGGGGCGCGCCGAAATGACCCGAGGCGGCCACGCGAACCCTGCCAGCAACGCCCTCGGTGGAGCTCATATGGGGCCCCGATCCTCGTGAATGGTGTGCCGAAATGCCCGAAGCCGCCATGCGACGGCGCTTTCAGTGGAGCTCCCATGGGGCCACGATCCTCGTGACGAGTGTGCCGACATGGCCCGAGGCCGCCATGCGAACCCTGCCACTGGAGTCTTCGGTGGAGCTCCCCGCGGGGCCACGATCCTCGTGACGAGAATTCCGAAATGGCCCGAGGCCGCCATGCGAACCCTGCCACTGGAGCCTTCGGTGGAGCTCCTATGGGGCCACGATCCCCGTGATGGGTGTGCCGAAATGGCCCGAGGCCGCCATGCGAACCCTGCCACTGGGGCCTTCAGTGGAATTCCTATGGGGCCGCGAAACGCTGTAGTGGGCCGGTGAAACGCAGGGAGGAAAGAGGAGGGGGAGGAGGGAGGAGGGGGAGGAAGAGGGAGGAAGGAGAAGGAGAACGCGGGGACCGTCTTTTCAAAACGAGGACACAACACCACAGGTTGGCTGGAAATTCGATATATGTATGAATACACACATACATACATACATACATACATACATACATACATACATACATACATGCATGCATACATGCATGCATGCATGCATGCATGCATGCATGCATGCATGCATGTATACATATATACATACATACATACATGCATACATGTATGCATACATACATACATACATACATGCATGCATACATACATACATGCGTACGTACGTACGTACATACATACATACATACATACATACATACACACATGCATATATACATACATATGTGCATGCATGCATGCATGCATGCATACATGCATACATACATACATAAATACCTACATACATGCATGTACACATACATGCATGAATGTATACATGCAAACATATGTATGTAAATACATACATACATACATACATACATGCATGCATACATACATACATACATGCATGCATACACGCAGACATGCATACATGCATATATGCATACATGCATACATGCATGCATACATGCACACATGCACACGCATACATACATACATACATACATACATACATACATACATACATACATACATACATGCATGCATGCATGCATACATACATACATACATACATACACACACACATACATACATAACTGCATCCCTACCTACCTGCCTGCCTGCCTGCATGTCTGCCTGCCCGCCTGCCTACCTACCTACATCCCTACCTACCTACATACATAAATACATACATGCATGCATGCATGCATACATACATACACACATACACACATACACACATACACATCTATACATACCTAAGCGGTGAATGGGAACATACATACACACACCCGCGACCCGCCCACAACCCACCCGCGACCCACCCGCGACCCACCCAGCGATCCAACTGCGACCCACCCCGCGACCCACCCGTATTGCTCTAACGAAAAATCAGCGCCTGCGGCGAGCTGTTTGTGCCACATAAAAATGAACTGCCTGCGGCGGGCTTCTTCAGAGCATCGCAGACAGCCGAGGCCCCCGCCGCCCCCTCACTCTCGTCCGCAACTGCGGGCTCGGACCGGCTTTGGACCAGACCCGCCTCTTCACGAGGGAGAAGAGAAGAACAAGGAGATGGAGGAGCAACAGCAAGAGCAAGGAGCAGCAGGTCGACAGTGCCAAATGCGGTCCTAATGCGGGAAAAGCTGATGTCAACGTCGCCGCCCAAGTCCCCCATGGACAGACATCGAACGCATCGCCTCCCAAATGGGGCCCGAGCTAATGGGGTCGGAAGAACGCGCCGTATCGCCGATGCATCGGCGATGCATCGGCGACGTCGGCGATGCATCGCCGCCGTCGCCGCGGCGAAAATCGGGCTCCGCATCGAACCGCGTCGCCGATGCATCGGCGACGCAGCTC